TATTCGTCTGTCTATCTATCTTTCTGTCTGTCTCTATCTATCTATCTATCTGTCTGTCTCTATCTATCTTTCTGTCTGTCTGTCTCTATCTATCTATCTGTCTGTCTATCTATTCGTCTGTCTGTCTGTCTATCTATCTATCTTTCTATCTGTCTCTATCTATCTGTCTGTCTGTCTATCTATCTATTCGTCTGTCTATCTATCTTTCTGTCTGTCTCTATCTATCTATCTATCTATCTGTCTGTCTATCTATTCGTCTGTCTGTCTGTCTATCTATCTATCTTTCTATCTGTCTCTATCTATCTGTCTGTCTGTCTATCTATCTATTCGTCTGTCTATCTATCTTTCTGTCTGTCTCTATCTATCTATCTATCTATCTGTCTGTCTATCTATTCGTCTGTCTGTCTGTCTATCTATCTATCTTTCTATCTGTCTCTATCTATCTGTCTGTCTGTCTATCTATCTATTCGTCTGTCTATCTATCTTTCTGTCTGTCTCTATCTATCTATCTATCTATCTGTCTGTCTATCTATTCGTCTGTCTGTCTGTCTATCTATCTATCTTTCTATCTGTCTCTATCTATCTGTCTGTCTGTCTATCTATCTATTCGTCTGTCTATCTATCTTTCTGTCTGTCTCTATCTATCTATCTATCTATCTGTCTGTCTATCTATTCGTCTGTCTGTCTGTCTATCTATCTATCTTTCTATCTGTCTCTATCTATCTGTCTGTCTGTCTATCTATCTATTCGTCTGTCTATCTATCTTTCTGTCTGTCTCTATCTATCTATCTATCTATCTGTCTGTCTATCTATTCGTCTGTCTGTCTGTCTATCTATCTATCTTTCTATCTGTCTCTATCTATCTGTCTGTCTGTCTATCTATCTATTCGTCTGTCTATCTAACTTTCTGTCTGTCTCTATCTATCTATCTGTCTGTCTCTCTATCTATCTATCTATCTGTCTCTCTATCTGTCTCTATCTCTCTATTTGTACATTCATCTCTATCTATCTCTCTATCTATGTCTCTCTATCTATCTCTCTATCTATTTGTAAATTCATCTCTATCTATCTATCTATCTATCTATCTATCTATCTATCTATCTGTCTGTCTATCTATTCGTCTGTCTGTCTATCTGTCTGTCTATCTATCTTTCTATCTGTCTGTCTCTATCTGTCTGTCTGTCTGTCTATCTATCTATCTATTCGTCTGTCTGTCTGTCTATCTATCTATCTGTCTATCTATCTTTCTATCTGTCTCTATCTATCTGTCTGTCTGTCTATCTATCTATTCGTCTGTCTATCTAACTGTCTATCTATCTATCTTTCTGTCTGTCTATCTATCTATCTATCTATTTGTCTGTCTGTCTGTCTATCTATCTGTCTATCTGTCTGTCTATCTATCTATCTGTCTATCTATCTATCTATCTATCTATCTATCTATCTATCTATCTATCTATCTATCTATCTATCTGTCTGTCTATCTATTCGTCTGTCTGTCTAACTATCTATCTGTCTATCTTTCTGTCTCTTTCTATCTGTCTGTCTATCCGTCTGTCTATTTTTCCATCCATCCATCTATCTATCTATCTATCTATCTATCTATCTATCTATCTATCTATCTATCTATCTATCTATCTATCTATCTATCTATCTATCTATCTATTCGTCTGTCTGTCTAACTATCTATCTGTCTATCTTTCTGTCTCTTTCTATCTGTCTGTCTATCCGTCTGTCTATTTTAGTTTTCAAAACAGCCCAGGAGGGTGAAGAAACTTTAAAAAGCATCCCCAGAACAGGCTGGCGAAGCAGAAAATGCTCTTTATAACTCTCATTGCACATGCACACACAGAAACTGGCATTCGTCAAGAATGTTTTTCATATAAATCTGATTTCTTAATTATTATAGTCACATTATTTTCCACATACTGTACATTATTGTTTCTCCTCTATGCCCCGCCTTTCATAGATGCAACGGAATGTACATAAACATAAATGCAATAATACAGCCATTCTGAAATAAATGTAAGAAAAAGTAACATGATAATACATTGTTTTTGGACATGTAACAGTAGAGTTAGCATGGTGAAACTGTTTTGTATATGAACCAAAACAACGCCATATTTGTGGGCATTTATATTGGAAATACAATGTTTTAGTTGAACATTTACTATGATGATATTCACTGGAGTTCCATGGTACATGCCATCATTCAGTACCATGGTATATATCAAAGTACCATGATGTTACCGTATAGCATCACTATAGCACTGCAGTATCTTTGTAAGAGCTTTAAATAACCAGAGAGGACAGAAAGTCTGAATGTCTATAAACTGAATTAGAACTCACATGTGGATGTGTCTCAGAGAAAGGGAATCTGGATCAGGTGGAGCACGTGGTTCTGGTTCTGGTTCTGGTTCTGTCTGGTAACGGTGGAGTGGGGAAAAGCACCATCGCCACTGAACTCGCTTCATGCGGGCAAGAAGGTCAAATACCATTCTATTATGATTTGCTCTATTCTATTTGATTCTTTTCTGTTTTATTATATTCATTTTTACTTGATTCCGTTCTGCTCCATTCCATTGTATTGTGCTCTATTCAATTCTATGCTTCTCTCTTCTAACGTGCTACATTTCATCTATTATATTCTTCTCTATTAAATTCTGTGCAGATCTGTTCTATTGTGCTTTCAATTCTATGCTTCTCTCTTCTAACGTGCTACATTTCATCTATTATATTCTTCTCTATTAAATTCTGTGCAGATCTGCTCTATTGTGCTTTCTTAATATTCTGCTCAACTCTGTGATATTGTGCTCTATTTTATTCTGTTGTATTCTACTCTATTCTATTGTGCTTTTTATATTCTGCTCTATTCTGTTATATTGTGCTCTATTTTATTCTGCTTTATTCTATTATACTTGTTTTACTTGATTCTATTCTATTCTATTGCACTGTTATATTATATTCTGCTCTCTTCAATTCCATGCTACTGTGTTCGATTAAATTCTGCTCTATTCAATTCTATGCAGATCTATTCTATTACACTGTGCTCCTTTCTATTGTGTGCTTTTATATTTTGCTTTATTCTATTACACTGTGCTCTATTAAATTATGATCTATTCCGTTATATTCTGCTCTTTTCTCTTATATTGTACTCTGTTCTTTTATATTCTGTTTTACTTGATTATATTCTACTTTATTTTATTCAGATTTATTCTATTCTATTGTGCTATGTTCTATTACAGTATGTTCTGCTCTATTGTATTTCATCTGTTCTGTTCGGCTCTATGCTGCTCTACTTTATTCTATTGTGCTCTATTCTCTATTATATTTTATTCTATTATATTGTGGTGTATTCTACTCTATTATATTCTGGTCTACACTATTATATTCTGCACTGTTCAGTTCTCTTCTGCTCTATTCTATTTTGGATTATTCTATTACATTGTGCTGTATTTTATTCTATTCTGCTCCATTCTATTATATTCTGACCAATTCTATTCTACTCTACTCTATTCTATTCTATGTCATCATGCGATGTTGTTTTGTGTGTCAGGTGGGTATCCTGGATGTGGATCTGTGTGGGCCCAGTATCCCGCAGATGCTGAGTGTGGGGAAGCCGGAGGTGCATCAGTGAGATGCAGGGTGGGTGCCTGTGTATGCAGACCCCCAGCAGCAGCTCGCACTCATGTCCATCGGCTTCCTGTTGGAGGATTCGGACGAGGCCGTCGTGTGGAGGGGGCCCAAAAAAACAGGTCTGACCTTTGCTGTTTAACCTTTTGAACGTTGGTACCTGATGTGTTCTCGTCTCACATCCCCATCTCTTCCTCAGCTCTGATTGGGCAGTTTGTCAGTGATGTGGCATGGGGCGAACTGGACGTTCTGCTGGTGGACACACCACCGGGGACGTCAGACAAACACCTGGCCGTGCTTGAGAACCTGCGCAAACACAGAGTGGACGGAGCCGTGCTGGTCACTACACCACAGGTGAACATAACAATGCTGTGAATCTCTAGTCTGCTAAATAACATGCATTAAAGTTCCACTGAAGTGCTTTGAAACATGCACTGTTATTCTAGGTGTTGTTGTCATTTGAACTAAAACAGGGCGGGATATATCAAGCAGTCATGCCCCTTTTTTAAATTGCCAATAGCGTTCGTTTATAAATCACAGCTTGGACTAGAGCCGTTGAGCTCGGTAAAGCTGCATTTGACAGGGTATGACAGCCACAATCTCATCTATATTATTGATATACAATATACAATTTGGTGTAGAATTCAAATGGGTCCAATACGTTCTGTGGTCTGCGCCGTGCTATCGTGTCTGTGGACCGAGACTGCATGCACAAAACCAGACTTCTTTCGCCCCAATGTAAAGCATATTTACACTGTCTGAATCGATCCCTATCCCCTATATAGTGCACTACGTGCCATTCACCCTACAGAAAATACAATTGATTGATCCATATTGGTGGAAGTGAGAGACTACAATTTTTGGATGCTTATATCTTGTGAATGTGAATTTTGTCATAGTTTTGGAGTACACTAGCTAATAGATGACCTTAAGGCTAACATATTCATACTAAGAGCCAAAAAACTTACATTTTTGATTTCGAGGGGATTTGAACACCCTTTCAAACGGCAGGCGGTGTCTACAGGAGACGTGAGATCACCTTCTGTAAGAAGACCGCCGTGAAGATCCTGGGCATCGTGGAGAACATGAGTGGCTTTGTGTGTACGCTGTACTTTGTGTGTACAGCTGTGCGGGAAAATGCCATCTAACAATCTGTATTAAACACTGATGTGTGTTTTTTAGGAGCGCAGTAACATTTTCTCTAAAGGTGGAGGTGATCACTGGATCTGTGTTTCTAGGTAATGTGATTATCGACTCACACTTTTCACTCGTGTTGTTCCACCATTCTCCTCTTGATGGTGCACAGCATCTCATTATGTGATATATTTTAGTGAGTTTTGAATACAGGATAGATGAGACTATAGCGTGGTCCAAAAGTCTGAGGTCACACTGAAGATCAACCTGAAAAAGCAAAATTAAAACAAACATATCGTGTAAAATTAATAAGAAATACTAAAGGTTCTGCTCTGCTTTGAAGTAAATTTCAATTAAAAAATAAATGACAAATATTTAATCAAAATAAAAGTATTGTAACAAAAAATTAATTTTAATATATATTATAATAATAAATTTTTTTTTTTTTTTTTTACATAAACTACAATTTGCTCTGTGGAACATCTCAAAACATGATAATGTTCATCTAGCCAACCAAATATTAAGACATACTTAAATTCGTATTCAATAATTTGAATTATAATTATTTACAATACATTAATAATACTTCTGTCAAACGATTAATTGCGATTAATTGCATCCAAAATACGTTTTTGTTTACATAATGTATGTATGTGTACTGTTTATTTATTATGTATACATATAAATATAAGAGAATGGGACAACATTCCTATTCCTAAACTTGAGCAACTTGTCTCCTCAGTCCCCAGACGTTTGCAGACTGTTATAAAAAGAAGAGGGGATGCCACACAGTAAACATGGCCTGGTCCCAACTTTTCTGAGATGTGTTGATGCCATGAAATTTAAAATCAACTTATTTTTCCCTTAAAATGATACATTTTCTCAGTTTAAACATTTGATATGTCATCTATGTTGTATTCTGAATAAAATATTGAAATTTGAAACGTCCACATCATTGCATTCTGTTTTTATTCACAATTTGTACAGTGTCCCAACTTTTTTGGAATCGGGTTTGTATATACATCTAAATATTTTCAAAATAAATACGGTATGTTTGTATTTATATATACACAATAAAACACAGTACACATACATATATTATGTAAAAACTTTTATTTTGGATGCGATTAATCGTTTGACAGCAGTAATTAGTAATAATTAAATTATAATTGTTATTAAATACAAAAATGGTCTCAGGCTTTTGAACCCCACTGTACTTCACATCCCTTTATGTCTAAACACATATACTGACTGATTGTGTGTGTGCAGGCTCCGTGCCGCTGGATCCGCTCCTGACGGTGAGTTTGGAGGAGGGGCGGGACTTCCTGCAGGCGTTTCCAGAGAGCAGCAGGTACACAGCCATCAGTCATATAGCAAACACTCTCCTCAGCAGCCTGGACGCCTGAAACAGCACTGACGAACACCATCAATACATGACACACTGAGATGACACTTCACATTCCTGTTTCATGTGATGCCATTTGTTATGAGAGGATTTATCTGGCAAATCTATTTGAAATCTGAAGAATATCAGATGTTATTGATAATGCAATGTGTTAAAACGTGTAAAAAAAACACTAAATATTAAAGAAATGGCATCTTTTTTGTCCCACACTAATATGTTTATAAAGAGGGTGTAAACACTGAAAAGCTGATGAGGTGTTATTATAGGCTTGCTTCTTAACACAACATGAATAATGCAGTAAATTTTACGCCTTTTTATGTCTTCCATCTTCTTCATTATAAGGAAGCCCTTTGGCCTGTTCCACTATTTCCATGCCACTTTAACATATAGTCTCTTTTAAGGTCCTAATATATATATATATATATATATTTTAAACTTCAAAGGCTTGAACTCTTCAAATAATTCTCTAATTTTAATCACATTCGTCAGTAGATCTGCGTACGAACGTTTTCACGATCTAATCAATAATACTGAAAAATGAACTACTGAAAACACACATTTTCATATCCGGTGTACCTTATAAACGTGTTAAGAAGAAGTTTTGAACAAATGTTTTATCTTAAGTATATTTCATTGCGAAATTGTTTCGAGGATGTCACATCGCCTGAGAATGTTGTTGCAAAAGTCGACACAAGCAGGAAAGGTCATGCGGAAAGCCCTTATATGGACATGATGTGGGCGTGTTCCATGCAAATGACTAACTTAGAACAGAATCCCTTTAATATTAGAACAGCGGTTCTCAACAACCAGGACACCTCAGAAAACTTCAAACTTAATTTATTAAAATTAATAAAATTATTTCAAATGGACTGCATGCTGAAAACACAAATGTAATTTTTTTTTACCTCCTTTCCCGCTCAGTTACTATTGTTTTATAGAAAAACATACCTGAACAAAACAGGGTTTTTGCGAATTTTATGAAGTTAAAATTAAGCTCTCTTAAATAATTTAAGACCAGTTATAGAAAATTTAAGGACTAAATTAAAGGGAACACAATATGCTAATATAGTCTCTAAATGTAAATGTCCAAAGAAAGTATTCACAGCACTTTAAAGTCTGAAAATACAACATCCGACTGATCACCATTACTTTTTAATTCATTTTATGAAACTAAAATTAAAAAAAAGCATAATAAAAGCATCACTACAATATGGAAATAACTTTTACTGTTTTCTGAGAATAAAAAAAAGGGACAAATATCTTCCAATGGACAAAAAAAAAAACAAGTTAATTTCCCACTGACAGATATTTGCTAATTTCAAGTATAAACTCAATTTTGCTCAGTTTCTCAAAAAAACAAGATATTTTGTATTTCATGTAATTTATATATATATATATATATATATAAAATGATATATATAATAATATATAAAAATATATAATTTGTACAAGGGTATATATATATATATATATATATATATATATATATATATATATATATATATATATATATATATATATATATATATAAAATGATATATATAATAATATATAAAATATATAATTTGTACATGGGCAAATTAAAACTTTTTAAAGGCGGGCAGAAACCCTACAAAATAAATGTATTTAAATGGAATTAATTTTACTCCCGGGTTCTGGTAATAAAATGTTTGAAAACAAGTAGTTTTGTGATAATTCCTTGAGGAAATATCTAAAAGGTTAAAAACCACTGCATTGGAATGAGGTTAAGAACAAATCTGTGTGGTGCAATAACCAGATTTATTTGTGTGTGTGTAAATGATGTTTATCTAACAGACTGAGAAAATTCAAATAAAATTTAAAAAAAATCTAAAAAATGGAAAGCTTTAAGGACGTTGAAGTAATTTAGCTGTAAATCTATCAGTGCTGTTGGGGAATTATTATCAAGGTTGAGACTGAAGGCAAACACACAGCTGAACACACTCACACGAGCCGTCAGATGACGAAGAAGCACAGGGAACACAGGCATGTGGAAATTACACTTGTGAGACCCGTCGAGGGGCACACGCATACCTTTAATACAACCAAACATCAGATACACACACGAAACAACCAGAAATACACACATCGAGCTGAAATACTCCCAGACAACTGCACCCCGGCCAGTGCAGCTCTATTCTTATATATATATATATATATATATATATCTTTATTTATATATAT